TAAATTTACTTTCTCTTTTACTCTTTCTTAATAATGCAATTAAATGAATAGATTATTCGAAGAACTTCAAAAGTTTTCACTAATTTTTTTAAGGCGTAATATGAATATTTTTTTCTCCATCTTGCATATAAAAGAAAGTCATGATTATTGACATCCATTGGATCATGTTAAATACTTAGATACAAGATTGCCAGCACTTCATATCCCACCAAGTTATTGCTCAGCTTTCTAAGATTATTTATGCATAGTACAAATATCTTTTGGGTTTATTTAATTGCTTTTGCATTTTTTTAACCCAATATATCTTAGATTGATTTTTTTTTCGACATTTTCGATTTTTTTTTGCTTATATAAGGAATTTTGTAGGTTATCTTTGGTTGCTCAAGGTTGTCATCTTGGTCTGTCACTCGTTGCTTGATCAAGGAACCATCAAACGGATGCATAAACCTACGACCAAAACTAATGAATTGGTTGATTATGCTACTAGCTTGCGCACCACTTCTGAACCTGCTGCAAACAACCCCTGTGTGCCCGATGACACTCCGGTTCCCATGACCACACCAACTACGGCTGTCCCTTCGGCTACTCACCAAATTCCACTGATTCCACCTTCGGCTACCGATTACGGTTCCAAAGTTTGACTCTCTATGATGGCTGGTCAATGTGAGGAATGCAACCAGAAGATGGGTGACATTGCTGATACCTTGCAACAAATCAATGACCAGATCATCAGAGTTATGGACCAAGTTGCTGGATTGACCACTTGTTTAGAAAAATTTGGACATATACATGTGACCGCAACAAGGTGGTGAACAAGTTTTTATTTGCTGAAAATGTTATGATGGCTGCCGATGTCCTACGTTTTCTCGGAGGTCTTTGTCCGTCACAAGTTTAACTTCCAAACATTCGGCGTACTTCCACTTTCGATGCTACGGGTCAACCGTCGGCCAGTCAAGGTGATGCGGGTAAATCGGATAAATTTGTCCTAAGTGTTTCCTCGTCATATTTTGAAACTTTATTTTGTCCAACTCTTTTGGGTATATGCTACATTTTCCAACCTCGCCTTTTGTGTCGATATAGCAAGGTTGTTAATACTCTTATCTTTTGTTAACAATTTGAGCATTGATATGTCTGTGGTTTTGTTAGCTTGTCCCTTATTTTCAGGTACAACTTTCTTTGCTGAACTCTTTTGGGTTTGCAAAAATTAAAAAGAAGTAGGCCGTCTTTCATTTTTTCCTGAAACACTTACCCTCATTACCTAACCACACACTTTAACCCGGTTCTTCAATATGCACATTGTTTGGTTTAGGTTTGGGGGAGTATGTGCTCTAGGTGTTGTTAAAAAACAGATATATCAATTGTCTTAAAAAAAAATCGGAAGACACAAATAAAACAAAGAGCTTTAACCCAAAGATCACTAATGAAATATCAAAGTTTGTGTTTCTAGAAGTATCAAATATACAACAAAAATATTATAAAGTGAAATCATTCAAACCATTGTGTTGTTTAGATAAGTTTCAGGGGAAAAAAAATTAGCCACATTTACTAACCCGATAAGCCCTACCGATTAATTTTTGCGCCTCAAAGATCAAATAAAGGAAGTCGTACATCATCTAAGATTGACGAGATTTCAACGCCACTCCGCAAGTTTTGTGTTATTTCCCGTTCCTTTTAGTTGTCTTATTTCTTTCATTTTCTTTACTTAATGATAAATAATACCTCAAGTTTGGGGGTATGATAATTCTCACTTTTAGAGTTAGTTCTTATTTATTTCCTCCGGTTTTGCATATATTAAATACCCGATTTCTTTGTTTTTCCCCATATATTCTAAAAGTTTTAAAAAGATGATGAAACACAAATGATGAGAATTTATTGCGAAAACCACCACTTTCTGACAAATGCCCATAGTGTCACCATAGTAGAAAATTTACGAATTTTTGCATATGGTTCAACTTTTTGGAGGATGTTTTATTGAAAATCTTTATAAAAGATTTCCTACAGCTTGAGCTGCCTTAAAAAGCTTAAAAAGCTGAACTTTGAATTTGAAAAAGAATGTTGATGGATCTTTTACGGGTGAGCATAGGCGGGTACCCGTCCTTTTTGACAGGAACCGGAACCGGCGGTTCTTGAGATATTGGAACCGGAACCGGAACCGGCTAGAACGGTTCTTAAATTTTTGGAACCGGAACCGGAACCGCCGGGAACGGTTCCGGGTACCCGCTTCCTAAAATATTAAAATTTTATTGTTTAGAAATAAAAAATAAAACATTGCCAAAACACTAAATAAATAAGAAAGAATACAAATTATACAAAATAATTGTTACAAATATTGTTTAACGATTATAAACTATAATAGACTAATAGAAAATATTCGAAGTTTAACGATTACATATTATAATGGTAAATGTTCAAAGTTTAACGATTACATACTATGAATCAAAGTGAATACACAATTTGAAAAAATACGAATCATTTTATATGGAAAATTTAGATGAAGAATGAAAATGACGACGTGCTTTCAAGATATAAACCTAATATAAATTTGGTATTAAAAAATAATAATTATTTTTTTACTTGAAAAATACCGGGTACCCGGCGGATAACGGTTCCGAAAATTTGAGAACCGGAACCGGAACCATTCTCAATCGGTTCCTTATTTTAGGAACCAGAACCGGAACCACTCATATTGATTCCGGTTCTGGAACTGGCAGTTCCAAGGCGGTTCCGGTTCCATAACCAGGTATCCGGTTCCCCTGCTCACCCCTAGGATCTTTACCCACAAGATATTTGAAAGCTCCATTTCCTATGGGTAAAAAAGTCCATCTTTATCCACTCATCTCCTATATAATAAGGCCAAAAGTTTATTTGTTGATCTCCCCTTTGAAAACACATCTCAACTAAAGTCTCTCTTCATCTTCTCTTAAGTTAAGTTTTTAATTTTCTCATATTAAGCTTGTAATTGTCATCTGCTACCCATAGACTCACCACCAGACTTTTGTTCCATTTTAATGAAAGTTAGATTTAAGTTTTATTTTTTGTCTTATATTATGTTTTTTATGTCTATTATGAGTTAATTACTTACATGAGTGCAGGTGTGAGTTAACTTAAGATTTTTATGCAATATTTGGGTGTTTTTATTTTTTACCACTTCGTAAACTTGGTCACTTAAGTCGGGACTAAAACTCAACGCGGATAAGCCGATCTCTTTGAAGTATTAATATTAGATCTTTGACCCAGAGATGGACGGATTCGAAATACGACTTAAGTGAAGCACAATAAACTTGGAAAAATCTTTGATAATTACGTAGAAATATGAATTTTGTATGCATTTAGCTAAGAATTAAGCATTGGAGATTTATATTACAAAGATATTTGAGTATGAATTTTATTTCTTTTTTTGTTTAGCTAAATCAACAAGTTTCGGAGTGGTGAGAATGTGAACTTTGTGAGATCTGTTTATAAATCTTCACTTTCTAGAGATTGGAATTTTTACAAACATCTCATAAGTTTCTGACCATTATATTGTTGTTTTTATCTTAAAGAATATTTACACACATTCTCATATTTTATTTTATAAATCTATTTCGTCTATTTTGTATTTTAAATTTTTTTATCAACAAAATCCAACTTTTAATCACAAACCAGAACATGCTCAAGAAGTTCATGAAATTTTCAAATTCTCCGTAGTTCAATCCCTATGGAAATGATCTCAGTATTTTACCACGTTATTACTTGCAAGCGATCATAATGTTGACATGCACTTACATCGCCGCTGTGGGGTCTTTGTGCCCACTATGTGAACACGAACGATCCTAAGCTACCAATATTAAATTAATTAGATTTTTTGAATTATTCATTAATATAACAAATTTTAAACTTGTAAAGCACAATTGATTTCTCTAACATTTAAAAAAACTTTATAACAAATATGTATTTTTTTAACAAAATAAAATAAGAAGTGTTATCTTTTTTACAAACAAAATAGTGATCTAAAAAATAATATCATATTTATTTAAGAAATATTTACTCTAGAATATTTAATTTTCATGTAATTTAACAAGAAAAAGTTAAAGAAAAATTGAAATGTTATTTTAGAGCAATGAAAAGTGAAAATCATTTTAAAAAATTTAAAAGAAGTTTTTTATTTTAGCCATGTTATCAAAATGATTGTCGTCCATATCACCTCATTGAAGCCAAGAAAGCAAAAAAAGAAAAAAAAAAGAAAGTAAAAGGTTAACCGGTTTAAAGGTAACAAGTTACATATTGCTATAATGAATATATTTTTCAAAGTACGATACCTTAATAAAAAAATAATTTGAACGTACACTAATGTAATAAGGAAAAATGAAATTATAATACTATAATATGAAAATTTATTAAAGTAGGTTGCTATTCAATGTATTTAACCTTAAAGAATATATTGAAGACATGAAGTTTTCAGTTTTTACGTGGAAAAAGTTCAGAAAAGCGGATGAACTGTCCCATTTTGAATGATTAAATACTTGAACTATTTTTTTTGAATAAAGTCCACGGACTATTTTTTTTTGAATGATAAAACAATAAACTTTCTCATTTTGAATGATTAAGTCCCTATACATTTTTTTCAATAAAATATGTCACCGAACTTTTAAAAATTAGTTACTTATATCATTTTTTCAATAAAATATGTCCCTATACTTATATCAGAGATAGATTAAGTTTTCTAATTTAAAGCCATATTAAGTCCAAACCGTCTAAATTGGTCAAACCAGATCGACTTTTTGTAGTCCGGTTTAGTCACTTACTGTCAAACTGCTGAATTTGACTGGTTTAGGGGTAGCAAGTTAAAAATCTCACCATGCCACTATACAATATGCATCACAGTTACAAAATCATGGTTACAAAGAATTTATACTCGTTAACAAACAAGCCCATACACGATATTTATTGACACACCCAATTTGTACGTCGACTGTTATTCGATAACCATTTTATACACGTGTGATGATTACGGTAACAAACTACGGTTATTTGTCTAAAACCATGAAATTATCGAGCCTTAAACCGAACGGTATTCGGTAGCGTATATTTTGGAAGCAACCGGGAACTTTACATTTATATGAAAAGAAATTACAGAATTTGTTGGAAAAAAGATGTAAAAGTAATTAAATAAATTGGAAAGAATAATTAAATTACATTTAAAAGAATGGAAATAATCAAATAAATAATTCATTCTCAGTACGGCCGATAATAACCATCCACCGTCGTCCCATCACTACTACTTTTCCTTGGTATCCTTATAGCGCCATCTTCCGACGACGATGACGGCGGCGACCCAGCCTCCATCACCGACTTCCGCCGTGGAGTCACCCGCACCGGCTCCGCCATGTCTGTTCCGATCAGGTGCGGGAAGTTCAGCAAAGCTCGAGAGCCACGAATCTTATACGCAGCTTGATCATAAGCCAACGCCGCATCCTCCGGCGTCTCGTACGTCCCAAGCCACACCCTGGCGCCACGCTTCGCCGGGTCTCTAATCTCCGCCGCGTACTTCCCCCATGGCCTCCGCCGGACACCTCGAAACTTCCTAAACTCCTGAGGCGCGTGATTCCCACGTGCACCGACGACAAGCTCTTGGTTTTCCACCTCTTCTGTTATAATCTCATGCTTCACCACCGAGCCTCCACCGGAAACCACCACCGACCCAAGCGTTGCAGCGCCGCTGCTGGATGGTCCACTACCTGTCGCCGGAAAAAGGTCGGAGATTTGGGAATCGTAGAGAAGGTGGTGTTGGATTGAATCAAGAAAGGAGAGATCAGATTCCGACATGAATGATTGTTGAAACATAATCCGGTGGTAATTTGATGGGAAATGTTGTTGAAATAATTGGCAGATGAAGACTATGTAATGTAGATACAAGATGTATGTATATATATGTTTGAATAAATTAAGTGACCAAATTATATATAATTACCTTTTTTTATAGATAATAATTTATAAGAATTGCCATGAAACTTCGTCATCCTTGCAACTATGCAAGTGCAAATTGGGATTTATAACACGTGTTTTTTTAAATACATATTTTATATATGCTAAAAGTAAAAGTGATGGTAATATTTCAATTTTTATTATAAAAAAACTATCAACTAGAAAAAGGTATACAGTGTCAAAAAAAAAAAAAAAAAAAAAAATATATATATATATATATATATATATATATATATATATATAAAGGGTTGGGTTCATGTGAGACCAAGAGCTTTTTGTGAGACCCGTAAGACCAATTTATGTTCATTGATCAACTTTATAAGCTAATGATCTAATAGTCTAAAGTTGCAAGGTGACAATTTTGTGATTATTGAAAAATCTCGTGGCGTTTATGAATGTTCAGATTGTAGATCTAACTCAAGGGTTTAGAATTAGTCTTACGGGTCTCACGGAAACCATTTGTCTCACATGATTCCATGTCTATATATGAATAATTCCAAGTCTACATTTATCATGATAAAAAGAACTGATGAACGTTTTTATATGAGCTAATTATTTTCATAAAAACGACAAATGAATTTTATTATTTGATGTTGTATTTTGCACTTGCACAAACTTTATATTGACTTTGATCTCAACGTTTTCAAATGTCTTTTTCTCCAATTTTCACATGTTTAGACGTGAAACTAGATTTAAGAAAATGTGTTCAATTATAAGACCAAAGTTTTCATATGATAAGGTTGTTTCAATATAATATGCAACTTATCTTTGAAAAAAAAAACATCGGACTAGGAAAAATAATTAAATAGTATACGTATTACGTGCACACACACATGTATACATAGGCCAATTAAAAGGGAAGTTATCGTGAGAAAAATAAGAAATGATCCGAACACTTGATTGATTATTTATAATTTTATGCCTACATATGAATTGCGCATTTAGAAGGGAATTGATTTGGTCCATCGGTGCACCTCATCAGTGTTGATCCAAGGATGGTGATTTCTTCTTACGTTTCTCACAAGAACCCAACCCTCCATATATATATATATGGTTGGTTCACTTGAGACCAGTATGTTTTCGTAAGATTCGTGAGACCATTTTTTACACTTGAAACTTCAGATTATGACGGTTACCTTGACAATGTTTTGCTACGAAGTTTGAAACATAAAAAAGTGGTCTCTATGTCTCACGAAAACAACCTGGTCTCACATAAATACACGTGTATATATATACACATATATGTGCAAGTCAGGTTCAATTGAAACCTGATTTCCATTGTAAATCAGAGAACAAATAAAGAATGTGCCACATATTTGTGAAATATTCATAATGAATGGTGTATTATTCATCTTGAATTTAGTATAAATTTCACTTTTATTATGAATAAAAACAAATTAGAACACATGTGTCATTCTTGTTTATTATTTCGTTAATAAAAAAATTAGGTTTGCAATTAAACTTATAGATATGTATTAACATGTTAATAAATTAAAAAGTAATGTACACAATTTAATAAATCATAAAAAACGATAACGACCGAAAGTTGTTGACCAGAATTCTTTAAAGAAGTAAATAACCAATAATATTAAATTATTAATATATTATATGAAATTCTAATTTTTTATTTACATTTACTCAGAATATTAGCCAGGCGGCTACAACAACCCCACGTTAAAAAAAAAGGCAAAAGCATTTGTCTAGATGGATTATTGAATTACTTAAATACCCTTTATTCTTTTGTATTTGAGTTACGAAACAGGGGTATGATAGTCGTTTCGTTAGACGGCCAATAAGATTTCAATAAAGTAATGTTTTTGCAGCCGTCAGATCAGATTTTCAACGGCCAATAAGAATCATAGGCAGTTACGTAATTTGACATTTAAAAAAAGACCATGTTTGACTGGTTTGAAAGTCAACATTCAAATGGATACAATGGCACGTTTTTAACTTCCATTTAATCAAATCCCAAATGCATAACGATGCTTCTTGGAACACTTGATAAATAATGTATGCCCTCTTTGGAAATTACCTTTTTACCCTTTGAATATATATGTATTTTGATGAAAAAACAGTCTTGATATTATGTCTTCTTTTGTATTATGATGTTATTTTAATCAAAATTTGATTAAAAAAAATGCAAGAAATAAAATATATAATGTTTGATTAACAACATCGTAACGAAACATAGTTTTCTGAATTTTGTATTTTGTTTATGAAATGACAGTAAACAACTATATAACATTCAGTTTCCAAGAAATTATATATATATTGCTCGATGACAAAATTATAGCTTATTTTGTCACGATTCAATATTTCATGAAAAACCACTAACATTCCTTTCTGAGGTTTGTATTTGGGTGGTTATCGTTATAATCAAAATTCCAACTACATATATTCACTGTTGTACCTTTTGGCTTGTATCAAATGTTTTAGATGGCGTGAGACGTGGCGTACCTTTAGAAGTCAGGGCGAATCCATCACGTTTTTCAAGGCATGATTTATGACGACAAATCTCCATATCACACACACACACACACACACACACACACACACACATATATATATATATATATATAATATTAAAAACTAAGAAATAAGACCACGCATTAGGCCATGACGTGCCACAAACTTAATGTGGCATAAGTGATAAGACACATGCAAGCTTTAAGCCACGACAAGCCATGACAACTGTTGCGACGAGCGTTTTATAAGAGTGCTTGTACCTTACTTTTGTGAAGAGTATGTGGTGGTGTGAGCATGACATCAAGAAGAGGGTCATGACAATCATTTTAGTTACATATACACATTAAGATAGAATATCAAAAAGTTGGAATATTTGCTAATTAAGGGGCCGTCTATCAAATGGTTATCCGGGTAAGTGTTTACCAAGTCACGTTACCTCACCGGATGAATATGGTATGGACCAAGAATCTTACCCGGTAAGAGCGAGACAAAGACCAAGAGCCTTACCCAATAAGTGAGAGCGATGACTTTTACCATGGTAAGCGCTTACCAGGTAAATTGTTACATGCGATGTCGTTTTGGTGGACTAAAATCTTACCGGCTAAGTAAATAGTAGTATTAAATTTTACCGGTAAGAACTTAACTGGTAAGTATTTGGTAAACGACCCCTAAGTAGTTCTCATCAATTTCTTTCTTTTTTGCACCGTTGGTCTAAAATAGTAATTTATTAACAATTTCATCCTTATAATTAAGTTGAAGGGTTTTTAGGAGCATTAATTCTCATAATGTTTAATCTAATATTTGTATCGGTTTTATCTTCATTTTCTACTATAACCACCCACAACCAAATCAGATTAGATAATAAATATACTCGTTATATCTGACTCGAAAGTAAAAAATATAAAAGGTATGACATGCAAACATCAAACACTATAGGGATAGAGATGTCATTTTGGAGACCCCTATCATCATCCACAACCATGAAACCTTGAAGCAAGTCTTATAATTTCAATTCAAATTGACTTTAAAGCCCACAATCAAACCTTAAACTTCCAAAATCCAAAAAATAGCATCTCCATCTTCCATTTACTTAATTCATTAATACCATGCATTTTGAACCTATAACTACAAATTTTGTATATAACCATATGTGATTATATTACATTAGCACTTGATCTTATATATGATCATAGTATTGTATATTGGATCAACATGTGATTTTAGACATGATCATATACATACATACACACACACACACACACACACACACATATATATATATATATATATATATATATATGAAAAATCGTGTGAGAATAAGAGTTAAGGTCAGAAAAGAGATTTGGACCTTGATCACTTTTAATCTCATTCCTACCCCATGAATTGCTCATGAGAATTGATCTAATGCATCTCGGTGCACCGTATTAGTGCTGATCTTCAATTATGATTGATCCAAGATTGAAGATCTCTTCTTTCTCTTCTTTCTCACCATAACTTTCTTTCCCAACAAAACCCAACCCTAAATTAAATGCACCAACACTACTAGAAAACAAGGTATCAGCGATGAAAATCAGCGAGAGAAAAATATATATATTTGAGCAAGATGTGACTATACATGATTAGTTATCCATAAACCATTATTGTATGTTTATTTGAATGATCATATGTGATTATTATGTCATGTGATACATAATGCTAGCATTCATCATGTCCACAATCATTCATGCATGTCGCTATAGCGATACATAATATGTAATTAATATCCTATAAAAAGGATAAATATAACAATGTGAGTGTCGAATTAAAAACAAAAAAATTAATTATTTTTGTTCAATAATTTGTTTATTTTGGTTTGAAAATAATAGGGTAATTGTTTTTTAATTTTAAAAATAATCTTTCTTTTATTTCTAAATATTTTTGAAATCCACGTGGTCGCTATTTTGCCCTCCCTCACACATCGACTATAAAAAAAAGAGAAATCATCAAAATGACCAATGATGTGGGCTAGATATTGTTTCTCTATAACATTTAGGTAATGTTTAGTACGTAGACATGATTGGACAGAACTGGACATAACAAGAGGATAGGAGAGGACTAAACATAACAAATGTTTGTCTAGTATTTGGTACAATTTGGACTGGACGAAACATAATTAAACAAGTTGTCCACAAAAGTTATCTGATGATTTTATATATTATATAATAGTTATAATTAGCACAAATAAAGTAAATAATTGAAGAATTTAATTTATAAATGATTTTACACAATTTTCATATAAATAATACATACATATATAATGGTACCAAATTTGAATAAAAAAGTGGATATAATTGATGGTAGTAATAGTGATGGTGGAGGTAATAGTGGTGGTGGAGGTTTATGGAGGTACAGGC